GGGGTTCCCAATTTTTCCATGCTTTGGCCCCCCAAKCATTTAGCCTSTGGCCGGGGGCKCTCGTACAAACCTACAAACAATGCTATAAAATATGTGAAGAAACATCAACCTTTAGAATTTTTTTCTCTTTTATTCAGTYTTCAAAAACTATTACATTTGTTTAACATAATTTTAAATTATGCTAGACAAATACAACAGGGTTAGAGATACAAAGACTTTTAAACGAATAAATAAATTACTCTGTCTTGTATTCATTATAAAGAGGTTATTTAAAAAATGCTACTTTTTTATATATTTACCAGGCACATTATGTGTTTTAGCACAAATGATCAGTATCGGTACCAGCCTGAGATTACTATGTTTCAGTAATGGAAAGAAATTTGGCAGTATCGAACATCACTAAAGAATAGGCACCAGTCAAACAATCACATGAGCTGCAATACTCACCAGTAGCAAAAAAAAACTTGGGGACAAGATCCACGTTCCACTCCTTCCCACGACCCATTGATTTAGGAGGACCAGGAACTTTAAACTTCCTGTAAAGCTGCAAAGAAAATAATTACGACTTAACAATTTGTGACAAGACACACGACTTCTAATGTGTTTTTCGTTTGAACGCACCTCCTCCAGAGGAGAAATAGATGCACTTTCTCCTCCATGGTAAGGATTTTTGTCAATGTGAAGGACCTTTTTCCCACTAAGAGACATTAAACCAGAGAGGACACATTCCTGAAAGGGACGGAGAGAGAGGATTAAATGTTTGCTGGAATCAGTGGATATCAGTTTGCATATTGGCAGATGGTCATAAATCTCCTTAGACAGCAAGCAGGAGCTCAGAGGGTCTGCAAAACAACAAATCATTGATGTTTTTTTTTTTCAAAACACAATCCTCCAAATCAGTTTCTAATCAAAGGAGAAAATCAATAAATCATACAATATTTTTATATTTATTGGAGCAAAAATCTGCAAGTAAATCTTAACTGACACGTCTAAGTGATTTTCTGTGATGTATGTTGACTTTCCTCTTATAAGAACACATTTCTTACCTTGAGCCCGGTTCCAAGTACTATAATATCATACTCCTGCATCCTAACGATGTCTCAGCGTTTTTCTCTCTGATCTCTGAGTCCTGGAACTTTACCTCCTGGGTGCAGCCGAATGGATACGTGTGTGAAGACCCATGTCTGATGATGGCAGGGGACAGTAATTGCAATGTGTTCTCTTTTGCAATAATCCTCTTAGGATGAGCACATCTATGCATTGTGTGTTTATACTGTATGTGTGGGTGTGGGTGTGTGTATGTGTGTGTCAGGGGTAGAGTTTGATATTCAGTGAAATTTGTGCTGTCATTTACGGCACATGGTTACAAATGTGTATATATATTTTTTATCTAGTCTTTTATTTCCAAATATGACTCCAAAATTCACAAAATCCACCAAGCCCAGGATTTCTCTTTCTCCCTGGCTCCTGGGTTTCAAACCCAGGAGCCAGGGAGAAAGAGAAATCACACACACGACAGGCCCTGGAGCAGTGTGGTTATCCTGACTGGGCTTTCCTGAAAGCAGACAGGAAACACAGACAGGATTCCATGCAACCTTCAGGTGAAAATGAAGACCCCAAACCCAGACCCAAACCAGTGGTTATTCTGTATGTTGCGGGTGTTTCGGAGAAACTGAGACGTTTATTTTCTAAACATGATGTCCCAGTGGCTTTCAAACCCCAAAACACATTACGGCAAAGGCTGGTTCACCCCAAAGATCCGGTGCCCCGMCACAAACAGAGCAATGTTGTATATGCTGTTAAGTGCCAGGAGGACTGCGACCAGTTATACATCGGGGAAACAAAGCAAACACTGTTCAAAAGAATGTCCCAACACAGACGAGCTACATCTAATGGCCAGAACTCTGCAGTTTTCACTCATTTACAGGCCAGCGGTCACTCTTTCAGAGATGAGGATGTTCTCATTCTTGATAGAGAGGAACGTTGGTTTGAGAGAGGAGTAAAAGAAGCCATTTTTGTGAAGAAAGACCATCCATCATTAAACAGAGGTGGAGGCCTCCGTTTTCAGCTGTCCCCCTCCTACAACGCTGCTATTGCCAGTATCACTCCACCCCCTGTTAACAATAAGTGTTAATTAGGTGTCAACGATAGCCATGTGATGTGTGTATCAGTCACATGGAGGCTGGGCTTAAAAGTCTGAATTTTGCCTGAAACTCTCAGACTGAAGAAGTCTCTTGGAGGAGAGACGAAACGTTTCATTAGAGAAGAACCCGTCCAGAAGACCTACACAATTTTTTTCTTTTTGATTAACAAATACACATTCAAACAAAAGTTTCTGATAAATCCTACGTTCTTTGTTGAAGGTTGCAAACCCCTAAACCCGTCAAAAGTGCAACTAATTAATTGTTTAGCAAAGTAGCCCATTTTAGTAATGTCCATTAGAAATTGAATAAGTTGTGAAATTGGTTTATTGGAACAATTTAGCAGAAAATGTATATAATCCCTTAAACCCACAGATAAATTACAATAAAAGTTGTACTTTTGTATTTAAGCACAGCTCTTCAGTAAAAGTTTATTTTTTGTAAACAAATATATTTTGTGTATATGTTTCCATATAGCCTATAAACAACATAAGAACGTAAGAAAGCAGATATCTCATTTTTTTCAAATCTGCCCAAGCTTTGACAAAGACTACATTTCCCAAGATTCCTAGAGTAGAGTCAGTGTTGGTTCGCTTGTACTCTTCAAGACACCTCGGCGGATCGGTGCTGTACGGCTCTGGTGCYAACAAAGTGACCCCGCCTTTCCGTCGCGTTTTCCGGAATATTCCGGGAAAGAAAACAAGGCGAATCTAGTCAAAAAGCTTATCGGGTTTGCTAGCAAGCATCTTCCTGTTTGAAGAGCTGAACAAGTTAAGGAAATGTCTTCAGAACAAACAGTAAGTAGGCTTATTGGAATAAATCTGCTTATATTTGATTAATAGCACGTAATTATTTGTTTAATGTTCAGCGTGCATTTAATTACGGTTTTTCAACTCGTTAATTGCCGCCAAAGGCAACGCCTCATCTCACTCAGCTTTCATTTCAGCAAGCATTTTATTTACTTTTGGGCTACCCATTTAGTATTTATTTACCTATTTCAAATAGCTAAAGTAAGAATTATGACAATAATGTTTTGCAATAAGGAGATTTCTACCCTAATWGTAATAAGACACGAAATCTAGGAAGGATTTGCAAGTTTAAATTCAACAAAACACTTAAATACCATTATAGTTGTGTTAAATTAGTTTAACCCTTTCCTGAAAGAAAAAAAAAACTGCATTAAAAGGTCATTTTTATGACTTGGACCAAAAATAAAATAATATATAAATGGCTTAATGATAATAAAAGCTTTTGATGATTTTTATTGTTTATAACTTTTTCAGTCAAATTTGTGCTGCCAAAGGTCATAATTAAGAGGCTACAATCTGCTGTCACTTTCTTAGATTAGCTAAAGTGATGTTGATAAATTGGTGATCCTAATGAACTGTCATTGTTTATCTGTGTTAGTTTTCAGMTAAGGACCAACACAAACGTGTCACAGCGAAGTCCAGCCCTGGATTCCTGGAGCGTTTAGGTCAAACTGCAGGAGGAACAGTCGTTGGTGTCGGACTCTTCTTCCTGTCGATATATGTTCTCTTCACCAATGAGGTGAGAAACAGCTTCAGCTTTGGAAATGCWCTGCATCCTGATCGTGCGCTGGTTGGTTGGTTAAGAAGAGGTCCCATCTCTGCGTGTGCTTTTCTTTTCAGGGACGAGCTCTGCAGACGGCGTCTTCTCTGGATGAAGGCCTCTCTCAGGTTGTATCACTGGCGCCTTACTCCYGCCTCGACCTGCAGAACAACGACCGCTTGGTTCACCTGTCTGCTCAGCTGCGCACTCTGCAGGTAGGCTGTTTAAACTCCACTCATTCAAACGTGTGTCCTAGTTAAATCAGTCATAGTTTGTCAGGTGCCAGCAGGTATTTCAGGTATTACAGCTTTATGGGAGTGTGGCGAAGCCTTTTTAAAGAAAACTTACATTAAATCTCGACTACAGTCTTTAAACAATCTATATAAATCCTGATTGAAGTAATCTGTTTAAACAAATTAAAGTATTTTTTGTGTTTTCTTTGAATCTATATGCAGCTTCAGGAAGGGGTGTTTGTTTGTTTTTTCACAAGCTGAAAATGTGCACAAAGATCCTGCCATGTTTTAATTTTGTCTTATCAACATCGCTGGTTTGTGTGTGTGTGTGTGCGTGTGCGCAGCCTCTACACGACCCCAACTACAAAGTGGCGGTGCAGGCGGTGAAGCTMAGGAGGCAGGTGGAGATGTACCAGTGGGTGGAGTACAGCGAGAGCAAGTGAGTGCTTTGTTTGCACAGCCGACTTAACGGAGATCGTTTGATGCAGCAGAACTGGACTGGAGAAAAAGGGAGTTGACTTTGAAATCTTTTCAGGGACTATAAAGAAAARGGTGAAACCAAGACGGAAACAACCTACACCTACAGTGAGTTATGTTTGAAGCGACACGTTTAGTTTATTCTATCAACATGACCTAAAAGCCGACTCAGCATGACCCTCCTTTTTTTTAGACACCGAATGGAAATCTGAGTTGGTCAACAGTCGTAACTTTGATAAAGAAATCGGTCACCAGAATCCAAGGTATAAACACATTTCTTCTTTTTTTTTGCCATGTATTTTTCTATTTTTTTAACCTTTCTCTTCCTCTTTTAGTGCCATGCCAGTTGAAAGTGTGACAGTGGCGTCTCCTGAAGTCCAAGTCGGACCTTTCATCCTGTCCAAAGGTATTTATTTCCTCAAACATACACTGATGCCGTGTTTAGATCCWATTCATATTCCTTCAGTTTATGTGACTGCTCATGTTCAGGCCTGGTGGATCAGATCAACAATTTCCAGACTCTGAGTTTGAGGGATTACCCAGTCTTTAATTTGGACCCTTTTCTCTCCATTCATGACGATTATTTCTATCACACTCAGTCTCCAAACAGGCCCCAGGTGAGAAACAACAACTTGTTTTCAGCATCGATCTTTTGCATCGTTCCACTCGTTAATAATGGTTGAATTATTTCCTACGTGTGTGATTTTATATTGCTTTAGGTTGGGGATGTGCGTGTGAGATTCTCCTTCGCTGGACTGAGTGGTGAGAACTCTCCCCTCGGGCCGCCTCAAACTGTAGGTGCTCCTGGTGATCTTTTTCCAGTAATGCTCAAATTAACGTTAACATGATGCGCTGGAAATTTAAAAACACTTTCTAAATATTTAATAGCCTGGAGATGTTTTTTAAAATCAGCATCTAATTATTTGTAACAAAAAAAAGGGAAAAGCGACTAGAAATGCTGTTTTTTTTTTTTTTTTTCAATTTAATTAAAAAAATTATTCATTTCATTAAAAAATAACTATATACAATAAGAAACAAAGAAAATACACAAATCAAAAATCAAAATAAAAAGAAAGGCAGCAGAAGAATAAATCTTATGTTTGCCCCTTTTATCCCCAGAATATATTCAAACGAAACATAATTTACAAAACAATACAAATAAAAATAAAAACATCAACTCAATCAACAATTCATCTAGCTTCTCATTTTACTTTTCCATATACGTTCAGAAAACTATCTTTTATTTGTCTCTTAAATACAGTATATACATAGATCTGGCATTTTTAAGATCATCCTCCAGACCATTCCACAATCCTATACCCTGGATTAAAGTGCATCTTTCTCTTAAGCAAGTACAAAAATATGGCTTCACAAACATTTCCATCCCTTTAAGATAACAACTGTCTCTCTTAACAAAATTTGCCTGAATGTTTGGAGGTACAGTATATGTTCCTGTGAGCCTTGTACATAAACAGTAAAATATTATAGTCAAACAAATCACAGAATTTCAAGTTTTCAGTTTGCAAAATAATGTATTTGATGGATGGTTGTAATCTTTTCTAGCGATAATAATWGGCTCTTTTCTGCAAAACAAAAATTGGATTTGTAATTGTTTTGCAAGCTTTACCCCAGACTTCAATACAGTAAATTAAATGTGGGACAATTATTGAATTGTACAACACAAACAGAGCRTTGTCATTAAATAACTCCCTGACTTTATACAGTACTCCAATAGATTTAGATATTTTTGTTCTTAAATAATGTATGTATTTTCTGAGGATTAGTGGACTGGTTGGACCCACGTTTGTCCAAGTTGATTTTAGATGCTCCCTAAAACCACTGATTGTTTTTCAGGTTAGTGTTGTAGCCATGCAAAGAGGAGAGAGACTGATGGCCTTCAAGACCAAGTCAGGAGATTTTCTGGAGATCCTGTACCTGGAGGAGCTCACRGCAGAGGTCACTGGATTTAAACTTTCAGGTGTTGAAGCAGAGAGTTTAAATCTCTCACACATTTGATTAAAATGTTTGTTTTGTGAACGTCTGCAGGAGGTGTTTGAAAGGGAACATCAGCACAACCGTTTGAAGACCTGGGGACTCCGAGCTGCAGGCTGGGCCCTCATGTTTCTTAGTATTCAGCTGGCAACACGCATCATCTACACACTGGGTACATTAARGCCCACTGTGGGTTTACAGCCACATTATTCACGAAGTTTAACCCTTTCATGTTTTCTGTCATGTCCCCTGCAGTGGATTGGGTTCCTCTCCTCAGGGAGCTCGTGTCCTTCGGTCTGATGATCTTCGCTCTCTGCCTCTCCTGCTCGCTGTCTCTTCTCGTCATCGCAATCGGTTGGCTTTTTTACCGCCCGTTAGTGGCCCTAGCTCTGGGAGCCGTGGCTCTGCTGCCGCTGCTTTTGGCCCGCTCGGGTCTTCCGCCGAAGAAGAACGAATGACTGTCGGGCAGAGGATTCAAAAGGTTTTCCATGGCCTAGCTGAAGCTGTCCGTCGAAGGTGCTGGGAAAAGAGAGACTGTGGGGCTTGTTTACTTTGACCAAGTGACATCTGATGAATGTGCTCTTAGATTTAAAATACACGAAAACCAAAATCCATGAACACCAATTAAAAGTATTTAAGTACAAAAAGAAACTGAGATGTTGCCTTCATAAATCACCTGATGTGGCCTTTCAAACACTGCTGCWCCCAGTGAGCAACATTAGATTTCTGTTTTTACTGTAAATAAAACTGTGTTCTTCTTTGACAGTGAAAGCAGCTTCACCTTTCTCTAACTTCTAAAGGAAAAAAATTAAGAGGCCTGCAATCAACAGAACGAGATGCTTTGATAAACCAGTGCTCACGTTAAGACAAATTGTCACTGTTTGACTTTATTTATGGGATTTTTGTATTAAACTATATGTGACCCATCACATCGAAATGAGGATTAAGTCTAAAAGTGGTATATGTAGAAATAGGCAATTAGTGTTTTGATTAAAACACGTGCAAAAATTGCATTTCTGCAAAATATAACAAATAAATGCCTTATCAATGTTTTATTTGAATAAACTCTGAAATATTGTCAAAAATATTTTTGAAGCACTTTTTTTTTGCGTAGCAACAAAAAAAAACTTGATTTTGAGGAAAAACGCCTTTAAATTTTGAGATTTTCCCTGTGAGCTAGCAAAGTTTTTGTTTCTTTCCAGCTGGGGAATGTCAATATTCAAATACTATTTGAAATTTCCTCTTCATAATGAAATGAATAATTTCTCATAAAAATGACAAACTTAGGATTCAGACCAAATATTATTGTATTATCATAACCTATAAGACAAATTAAGGCATATATCTGGTTCCATTTATAATATCAGAATGATCCAGGTATCAAGATGTAGTGTTTAAAGCCTGGAATCTGAAAATGTGATCAGGTCACTTTGACAAAATRTGACTTAATCCTCATTTCAATATGATGGGTCACATATTTGTTTCTGTCAGAAAGAAAAACTTCATTTAATCTGTGAAACYCTGATCAGGCAGGAACTTCAGTCAGTTTTTATAGCCTGGAGGTTCCCAAGGTCAGAAAAGGACATGTTCTTTTACAGAGTCCATATTAAGTGCCCAGGTCAACTCCCAGGCTGCCTCTTGGGGGYGCTTTTATTGTGACAAGCAGGAGACAGAGGCCTTTATGCTCCCATAAGCTCAGAACCTGAACTTTTATGTATGAGAACCAGTAGAAAAAGACAGCAAATGAAGATCCCAGAGGTTTAAGTTTGTTAAAGCCACATACATAAAAAGATGCAGATATGCTCAAACTAAAGCAAAGAACCTCACCCCGCCCCCTTTTTACAAGTCTTGCTTAATTCTAATTTGTGTCTGAGGTTGGCTCAGCTGTAGACTGGGACTGTGTGGGACCTCCTTCCTCTCTACTGGACAACAAGCTGCTGTTCAGAGACCCCAGAGCATGTTGAGTCATTCCTGATTGCAGCAACTGTGGCGTTCTCATAGAGCTGTCATCTTACTTACCCAGACCTCAGTTTGGCWGCTACCTCCACGTAAAACTTTCCAAGATCACAGCTTGTCACAGATCACTTACTGTATGCTGTCATGAATTTTGAGTCCCCAGTGGTGTAACTTAGAGCAGCCTCACTGAGATCAGTCCKCCCCAGGCAAGTTTCCAAATGGGCCTCTTCTGTTACACAACAGTATTTATGGAAGTAGACCATAGAGCATCATATCTGCATATCCCACAGTTGTAGTGGGGTGAGATTTATTTTTATTSTATCAACACTGGATGAAAACAACCTGTCCTGTAGAAAAATTCACCCCAAAATCTGTAAATAAGCACTGTAAACAGTACRGTAGTTGTACATAGTTGCATGTTTCCATGTGAGTAAATAAAATTTTGTTTATAAATGAGCTCATATAGAAAATACCTCCAACATACAGTGGGGAAAATAAGTATTTAGTCAGTCACCAATTGTGCAAGTTCTCCCACTTAAAAAGATGAGAGAGGCCTGTAATTGACATCATGGGTAGACCTCAACTATGAGAGATAAAATGTGAAAAAAAATTAGAGAAAATTATTTTGTTTGACTTTTAAAGAATTTTTTTGCAAATAATGGTGGAAAATAAGTATTTGGTCAATAACAAAAGTTCATCTCAATACTTTGTTGTATATCCTTTGTTGGC